ATAATAATAATATAGGACATCATTTAGAAACAAGTTATTTTTATTAGACATTCTACTGAGGTATCAATAGTGCATCGAGGGCTCATTTTCAGTACCATTATAGAGCAATCATTTCATTAATTAAAAAAAGAAAACGGGAATAGAACAATAACAGCAAAAATTACTATATTAGGTCTGGTGATATATGAACACAGGCACATGATATTCTTATACTCGGCCAATCCATAAGATGTTAAAGAATACAAAAATAACGAATTGTGCAGAATAGCATGAATCTATTTTATTTCGTTCGGTTCTTATCAACTGCTATAATATTTTAAAATCAAAATTATCGTTAATTCTGCATATTTATAGAAGTAAAATTGAGGTAGTAATTCGAACAAATGTGATGAAATTAAAGACATAAAGAGTGGTGTAAATAAATATAATCTGTAAGAGAAGATTCCGGATCATCAGACATAGTAATAAGAGATCATGGGGCTAAAACAGTTAACTGATTATGTAATAATGTAGTTGAACGTAAATCGATGGCAGTTAAGAAGAATATGACTTGAGACTAATCAGTTTAAAATAAAACTGCGAATTTGGAAAAGCTGTACAATTAAAATAAGAGTGGAAAAATCCCAAGAATGATGTAATAAATTGAAGATAAAGACACTATGACAAGGTAATATATGCAACTATTTGTATTTGGATACCTAAGTCCATCTTGAGGCATTTGATGGCAACTGGATAGGAGGAATTTATGGAAACTTCTTCGACACTATGGTGTACCTGAGAAAATCGTCAACACTATACGGAATTCACACGACGACTACATTGGAAAGTCGTGCATGAAGGACAGCTAACAGTGGCATTCCAAATGACGACTAGTGTCAGACAGGGCTGCCTACTTCCTCTTTCTCTTTCCTATGACGGTCGACTGGATTATGAAGACCCCGACATCTGCGAGGAAGCATGTAATAAATGACCTGACCCTTGTATCTCATACGCATCGACAAATGCATGCCTGGACAAATAGTGAAGCAGCAGTCTCTGCAACAGTAGGCCTCAAAATACACAAGGGAAAAAGCAAGATCCTCAAATACAACAGGGAGAATACTAACGCAATCACACTTGATGGAGAAGCTCTGGAAGAGGTGGAAACTTTCACGTACCTGGTCAGCAGCATCATCGATGAACAAGGAGGATGTGATGTAAACGTAAAGGCAAGGATGTGCAAAGCAAGGGCTGCATTTCTACAGTTGAAGAACACATGGAACTCAAAATAACTGTCAACCAATATCAGAGTGAGAATTTTCAATACGAACGTCAGAATATTCCTACCGTACGAAGATGAAGAGCGGAGAACTACCACAACTATCATCAAAAACGTCCAGGTATTTCTAGGCAATTGCCTACGTAAGTTACTGAATGTCCGTTGACCGGATACCATCAGTTATAGCCTACTGTGGGAGAGAACAGACCAGCTTCAAGTTGGAGAGGAAATTAGGAAAGGGTGTTGAAAGTGAATGGGACAAACATTGAGGAAATCGCCACAGTGCATCACGAAGCAAGTGCTAAGTTGGAATTCAGAGTGGAAAAGAAAAAGAGGAAGGCTGAAAACACACTGTACCGAGAATTGGAAGCAGACATGAAAAGGATGAACAGTAACTGAAAAGAACTGGAAAGGATTGCCCAGGATAGAGTTGGATGGAGAAAACTGATGGGTGCCCTATGCTCCTTCATAGGGGGATAACAGGCGTAAGGAAGTAATTAAGGCTTCTGTAAATTTGAGGAGAATAGAATTTGACTGTTCTTTTATTGATCCTGAAAGATTTCAGTATAGTAACCCGATGCCACATAAATGTTTCGAAGTAGCCTTTTCTCCCATTGACATGAAGTTGTTTGGGGTATGTTTTTGAAATCGGATATAGGCCCTGCTTTCTGTTCTACTAATGTAACTGCTTTGGGAGCCTGTGGTGTTTGAACGAACTAATGATTCCTTTGTACTTGTTGAATGCTTGATTTCGAATTCCGAATACAGTACATTCGTTCGTGACTATCTAGTACTTCTTGATCCAATTGCGTTATTTCTGGGATTCTTAATTTGTACCATAATTCAAATAATCCTTATCATCATAGAGCCACATGTAAATTTGTATACACAGTTGGTGGTAACATGAAAGTACCTATCGATCTTTTATTTTAATAAAGAACCTGTTGTTTTATACAAGATAATCAACTAGCTGCAGGACATGTTCTAGGCAGTATTATTTATTGTCAGTGCAACATCATCACCTTTGAATTCAAGATGAATAAAAATAGGTTTTTTTTTATCTAAATCCATCTTTCGAAGCATTATGTCTTGATGTTTCCCATATTTCTTAATTAATTTCTTTGGATATCCATTGTTCATTAGGGATTCTTTATCGTTTATTAATTCTGCTTCTAGTGTATCGCAGTACCAATGTGAACAGAGAAATAAAGAAGCCGTAACGAACAACGAAAGCTGTTTTGGGGAACATTATTTCACTTAATTCAAAGTTAGTAAGATACTAGCACTTTGTTTTGATCCTGGTGATTCTATAAAGCATAAACTTCCGTTTGATGCATACGCCGTTCTATTCCAAAGTTAGTGTAATTTGAACGTAACCTTTCGTATTCGATTTTTTCTGCCCTAACGCTTAGCTTAAACACATTTTTAAAAAAACTTGTTTGAGCGTTGTTATAGTGATAGTCATCTATTTATTCATATATCTTTTTATATTTGGCTACATCAAGAATAATTCGAGTAGTGTCCCAGTTGACTCGTCTTCTTTCCGCCTGTTAACCAATCAGATGACAGAATAGTTTTCGTCTCTCTGTCCAAGGTTGTTAGTCCCAATTCGGACTCACGCATTTCTAGCTTCAGGGTTAAACCAGTTAGCCTTTCGTGTCAAGGCCTTAACCTAGACCCAGACAAGTTCTATCCTGTATATTATTGGACAAACAGATCAAAGATGTAACAAATACATATCCTTTTCGTTCTGTGAAATAGCATTTTGATAAGTGCCTTTTTGTAAATAATTTGACAGAAACAGTTAAAATCCAGATAAACACCATTCCATTTATCCTTTCGATAAACTGAACGTTATGCTACACCATTCTCCCATTGTAAGGCAACGCCGAGAAAGTAGGATTTATCGTTCTTTTGATGTGCTGATAGTAATCTGGATATTTTATGTGCGTCGTTGGCAAGGTTCAGAATCAATTTTACTTGTAAATCATTACATACAATAAAAGTGTCTTCAACACACCTCTCATAATAAACCATTAATTCGATCACTCCTCTAAGTTCAGTCTTCCTAAGGTTAGCTCTGAACAGATTTAAGATAGGACCAAGCGGACTTCCCATTGCTATATGATCAGTTTGACGGTATATGACGTTGTCAATTTGAAACTGAACATCTTTTGTACACATAAGTTTTTGAGTTTGAGTTCTGATACTTGTAGGGGTTGGAAGTCCGATTGCTCGCAAATTATGTCTATGGTTTCAAGAAGCGATATTTTGTTAAATAAAAATGTTGCATCAAATGAAGTCATCGACTTACCAGGAGGTTAAGATTTGACGAACTGGTTCTAACTTTTCCACTAGCTAGCGAGATGGCATGATGAATTAACCATTGAAAAAGTAGCCATTAGCTGGACTGAACGTTTTTGAATTTTTGGTGGGCCATTCATATGCCTTAATCGAGATCCAAGAGGCCTTAGATCATTGTAATGAAATTTTTCAATGATTTTCTTCCTCAACAGCTCCCTGAATATGTTCATAACTCGTTTTTTATTGAGTCAGTTAAGTCTTTGTTGTATTTGTCAACCGTAAATTTCAGATTGTCGTTTAGCATAAACTTCACTTAAGTGATGTAATCGGATACGTTCATTAGTATAACTCATGAGCCTTTGTCCTGTCATAAAATCATTAACACATTATTTATAGGTTGTAAGCAACTGATTAGAGTCTAACAAAATAAAATGAATTCACGTTATTCTGTTTAATTTGTTGTTTTTGGACGTGCTATTTTGTGACATTTCCCAAGGAAATTTTTATGCTATTTATGTACGCTTGGGTTGTGTGCTTATTGTTGTTTGTGCTTCTGGCTGCCTATGGAATATACTTTTTCTCATCTTGAACCTGGACTTCTCACTCTAGTTAGCGGGGCTGAGACGCATTGGAATAGTTTAGCTTGTCTTTTCATTGTGTTGCTGATCCTTCGTTCCGTTCACCGATCTTAGGTGATTTCGTAATTTCTTCAAACATAGCAGAACCATCCTTCACACAGCAATTTCAGGAGGTTAGGTGTTAGAGCGTGGGACGAACAGGCCTAAGTTCGACCCCCCGATGGTAGAGTCGTGGATGAGCACTACCGGGAAGTCTTATGCTGTGACGAAAGAGCTATCCAGCGACTCTTATTTCTTAATGAAAGTCTGACTCAGATCGGTTCGTGATATCAATAATATTCAGTATTTTACGCAAATCTTTATACTGAAAAATGTTTCACTTAAAATTTGTCATAGTTAACCAAACACGAATGGTAACCTGATGGCGGTGAAAAATCGACACAGTGCTATCATCTAAATATATATTCATTATGTTGCACAGATATACAAATGTTCAATTTCCCTGTCGATGCTTTAATGATAAAAGTAGACTATGCTTTGTGATACGAAATTTCCTGTATTCATAATGGATAAGAAATGAAGATTGTAATGATCTAGTAATCTATTTCTACATTTCATAGTTATACTTTGTGCTGAAGCACTTTAAAAAGCGGTCTATCGAATCTTCTATAAATCTAGTATTTGTTGTTCTTGAATTGTAATGAATGATTTTTAAATTACACACAAATAGACGAAAATGACCTCAATTTATGATTGGTTAATAGTTTATATTGTTTAATATTGGTTTGACTAAATCACGTTGTGCCACCTACTACATATTGAGCTTAATCACAAATAAATAAATATATATATCTATATATAAGCGCGATGCCATTGTATATATTCACCATTCAAACATAACTCATTGAGAGGTTAGTTTATTGACTGGATTATTGATTTTAATGAATTGACTTTTCTTACACAAAATACCTTGTGCTTGTGAACCACAAATGCATACAGACTACTTTTCCAACACTGAAGGATTTGTCGAGTATGAAACTCATCTTCAATGTTTTGATGATCGTGTATGTCAAACATTTTGGTAAATCATCTATTATAAAATGTATTACGATTAGAATGACCTGTTAACTGGAAACTGTCATTCGAATACTTTTGGATAATTTAGCGAAATTCCGTTTATCTAAACACTGTATTCAGCGAAGAGTGACCATTAGATTTTTCTCTTTTGAATACAACCACATATTTCTTTTGTGGTAGAAATTATTGGTTATCAGCTCAGATCATGTATCACCTTACAATAGATCCATAAGTAATATCATGGGACAGTACTCACTCTTAAAATTGACTTTATTAGATACGTTCAAACCTTTTAATCATAAGGTAGATTTCCCTAGATAACTGTTCATACGCACGTTTATCAAGGATTATGCTGTGGTATTTATTTAAAGACAGTTGCTACAGTCTTCTGTCTTTGTAGCCCTAATGGACTGGTGTCTGACGAAATCTCAGTACGGATTTGAAAAGCTCGTTTGGCTTTTACCGACTTACGTCATCTATGGCGAAGGCGAGATATACGTCTATCAATAAAAGGACGAGTATACTGCGCGGCAGTTCTCTCTGTTCTACTTTACGGCTGCGAAACGTGACCACTAAGAGTAGAAGATACTCGTAAGTTACCAGTATTTGATCACAGATGCCTTAGAAATATTGCCAGCATCTGCTGGGACCACCGGGTAAGTAATAGTGGGGTTAGACGCAGGATATTAGGGAATGATGGTAAATCAGTTGATGAGGTTGTGAACCCTCATCGACCGAGTTGGTTGGGCCACGTGTTACGCATGCATGAAAACCGATTACTACGACAGGCAATGCTGACTAGTGTTGGGAATGGTTGAAAGAATGTTAGGAGCGGCCAAACCGAAACGTGGCATCAGGGCTTGAAGTCGCTAACTTCTAGTCTTAGCCATGTTGGTAGATGCAAACTACTCGGTTGGGGTCCGCGTGTCTATCGTAACCAATGTTTGGAGACTCCGTGTGACATGGCTCAGAGTCGATCACAATGACGTAGATGTATACACTTTCTGTCTTCCCTTAAACTATGAAATTAAAATTATTTCATATCTTTCTTTCTATACTGTATCCTTACATAAAATCTTTTCTTTATATACTTCACCTTTGAGTTAACTGCTTCTATGAATCCGGTGTTCGTCCTGCTGTGCTAATGTGGTTTGGTAACTTGGACTGATGCATGTATGTGCCTGGTCCTACGTTGTAGCTGACTGACAGACGGTATAATATGATTTGTAATAGGTTTCCGGACTGATGATTGAGCTAGATATAAAAACTTTCAAAGATAACAAACTAGAGTTATCGGAAAGTACGATACTATTACGGAACATAATGCGGAAAATTAGGACGTATTTTGACGCCAATTACACCGATTAAAGTCTAGCTAAAGAAACACTGGGTCCTTCAGATTTATGAAATACAAAAAAATGAACAAGCTGATTGTTGGAAAACAGCACATAATTGTATCAAGCTGGAGTACTAGGACTGAACAAAAATAGACAAAAATTTTGATCAGTCATTCAGAGTACATATTGATTTCAGCAGAAACTCACAGAAGTAAATCTTGACAACAAAATGAATGGCAAGAGTTATGCTGTAGGAAGAAGAAAAATAGATTTAACTAAAATGTCGAAATAAGCGTATTCGTAAATGATGTAACCTCACATAGAAAACTTGTGAAGTTCGTGAAGCTGTTTCTCAATAAGTAAGACTTCTCAACGTTTTGTATTTACGATTTTTCTGTTAGTCACCTATTACTTATTTCCTGTAAATCCTGAATGATGTCTGGCTTTGTGAACTTAGTTAAGATGAAAAACTTCATTAATATTATCAGTAACAGTAAATTCATTTGTGTATTTAAAAAATCAACCACAAATAATAAGAAAATTAGTTCAAAATTAAGTACCTCCCTAGTAATAGTGGTAGGAACGTGATATATAGCTGATCGAAAGTCTCAACAAATAAATCTGGCTTATAAAGATTCAGTAATCTATTTCTCAAAAAATTATTTCATTCTATGCATTTTATTTACATGCCAAAGAATGTGGCAGCAGTCTGGACGACAAGCACATCTATCATGGTTACCCGCCTACGCTAAACAAACCCCTCCACCGCATGCTGTTGAAGCTGATGTTAATATCTACGTTATTCGTGGTCGAGTTAATGATGATGTGATACCTGGAAAATGGCCCATATATCTTGGTAAAGGTTATGTACCATATGGTGGAAAAGAAGTTGAATTGGACAGTTTCGAAGTGTTGTGCAACACAAGTTTAAAGCCAACAGAACGCTTGTAAGTAAATGAAAGGAACTTGTACCATTTAAGTAAAAAACATTCGAATGTGTGTCCAACTCATTTGATTTTGTCGTTTAAGATAAGTTGATTCATGGACCCAGTTGAATCATCAAACCATGGACCGATAGTTTTACATTTCATCAGTCAATACGAGGGACCAATTTGATAAAATCTTAACCAAAATGCTTATAACTACACATAAATAAGTCAGATCTGAAACTCTCAATTCACTCAATAAGGCTACTTCAACTAAGAGTTCTTTTTGATTAACACTCTAAGTTATAGGAATAAGCCATTTATGATGGCATTTAAAATAATTACCACCAAATACATCACGGAAAGACATTACTATCAAATTCTGATATGATCAGTTGGTCTCAACAGCTGAACTACAAATATAGAATGGTATTGAATTAGTCAGTCAATTCAGAAATGTACGTATTAATATTTGTTGACATGAAGCCAAATATGGAATTCACACAGCATTAATTTAATAACACAATCACGCCATACTTATGTGTATCTATGTTCTATCAAATGAATAAAATCTATTCATTTTTGTTTACATTGGCAATAACTCAAATGCATATAAATAGATGTAGGCGGAATGTATTACCTTGATAATCCTTTCAAGTATCTTAATACTTTGTTACGAAAAATCATTAGTTTAAGTTGACTAATGAAGATTAATGAAATATCTACTGAGAATATATGAATTATTCGTAATGTAATAAAATAACGAATCGGATATACAGATGAGAATTTATTTGAATGATTTAGTGTGTATTGTATCGGTCGATTTATTTAATGGAGATTATGCATGCTGCAAGAGAAGGAAACATGAGACAATTGTATGACACGACAAAGAAACTCTCTGGAAATCGCCGCAAACCAGAACGACCAGTGAAAAGCAAGGAAGGCGAGGTAATCACCAACATTGAAGAGCAACAAAACAGGTGGGTAGAACACTTCAAAGAACTCTTGAATCAACCAGCTCCACTGAACCCACCCAACATCGAAGCAGCACCCACGGACCTCCCAATCAATGTTGGCCCACCAACAATTGAAGAAATCAGCATGGCCATCAGACAAATCAAGAGTGGCAAAGCAGCAGGACCGGACAACACCCCAGCAGAGGCACTAAAAGCAGACATAGCGGCAACTGTAAGGATACTCCACATTCTCTTCAATAAGATTTGGGATGAGGAACAAGTACCAACAGACTGGAAAGAAGGACTTCTGATCAAAATACCGAAGAAAGGCGATCTCAGCAAGTGTGATAACTACAGGGGCATCACTTTTCTCTCAATACCGGGAAAAGCCTTCAACAGGGTATTGTTAAACAGGATGAAGGACTGCGTAGATGCCCAACTTCGTGACCAACAGGCTGGATTCCGTAAGGATAGACCGTGTGCAGACCAAATCGCAACTCTACGGATCATAGTGGAACAATCAATTGAATGGAATTCATCACTCTACATCAACTTCATTGACTACGAAAAGGCATTTGGTGGCGTGGACAGAACAACACTATGGAAACTTCTTCGACACTACGGCATGCCCCAGAAGATAGTCAATATTAAACAGAGCTCATATGATGGATTACACTGCAAAATCGTGCATGGAGAACAGTTGACAAAGTCGTTCAAAGTGAAGACCGGTGTTAGGCAAGGTTGCTTACTCTCACCCTTTCTCTTTCTCCTGGTGATCGACTGGATCATGAAAACGTCAACGTCTGAAGGAAAGCGCGGGATACAATGGACATCTAAGATGCAGTTGGATGATCTAGACTTCGCAGATGATTTGGCCCTTCTATCCCAAACGCAACAACAGATGCAGGAGAAGACGAACAGTGTGGCAGCAGCCTCAGCAGCAATAGGTCTCAATATACACAAAGAGAAAAGCAGGATTCTCCAATACAACACAGAATGCAACTGAACTGTTTGTCATCGCACTAACTTTATTACGACTCACTTGAAATTTGATTGGTATTTATGTTATGTTTCGAGAACAATACAATGAACATTATGCAGCATTTTCAAAGCAGATAAAGTATCAGATCCAAATATTCGCTTGATCGACCTATACAAATATTTAGACCGTGTACACCGATTATCTGAGGCTTCCAGGATTCCAGTGCTTGTCTAACCGGTGTCACTCTGTGATGTGAAACTCCAAAATTTTGCACATATTTATTAACATTTACAACTGACTGCATTATTTACTTAATATTACACGTCTTGAATGGCTTAGAATGACATCCAATTCGAAACTACTGACCATTTAATCGATAGTCAGTGTTCTATGTTAACGCACTCATCAAAACTCTACAGTTGTTATTTCGAACTGATTGTTTTTGTGATAGCGTCTCCATTTCACAAACAGATCTCCACTTTTCCTTACTAACTGCCTTCATATTCGGAATGAGACAATTGAGAGTTACCACGAACATGTTGTGCAGTTATCCAAGTGTTTTTCTTAAGTAACCACTTTCTATCGGATTCTTTCATTTTCCCATATTCAATTTTGTAGTTTGCCATTCAAAATATTTATAAGCATTTACAGAAATAATATATTTTCTCAATTGTTCATTCATCTAGTTATGAATGGGTTTCATATACTGGAGGCAATGTACCAAACAATGCGTTACATGCTGGTGAAACCCAATCATCCGAACCTTTATACATAGCTCGTAGATTAGTGAATAATGAGATGTGTGTTGGTAAAGTCCATCCATCACATGGTTGCGCATATTTTCCATGGGGTGGTGAGGAACATTCGGAGAAGAGTTATGAAGTACTGAGTTATATAGATTGATGATATGAACAGATAAAAAATTATTATATTTCTATAATTTGACAAACGTCAGAACGCGTATGGAAAGACAGAAATGGATTATAACAGTTACCTCAAATTATGAACTCATTGATGTCATATTTGATGTATCATACAATCACAATCCAAATATACTATTTGTGTTTTACTTGTTACCGTTTAGAACAGTTTCAAAATGCCTTCATGGGTGATATCTTTTAAAAATCATTCTTCCGGAGGTACAGAATGAGTTGATGTCCACCATTTGTCGTTTAGGAAGTTCAGCCAGTTTTACTTTTAAATGAAATTCATCGACAGAGACCGTAGTTAAGGACGATTAAAAAAATTTCCTGATGTGTGAAATTCGTCGTTTAGGTTGCCATTATCTCTTTATCAAATTGAAATGATTGCGAGAAACACTAACACTGATCGTCTGTTTGGTTAAATAGTTCATACATTACTTCGTTGCTCAATATAAAATATGATGACATTGGATTATCGTCACGCTTTATCCAGAATTGATTGAAGATGGACATGTCAACCAATGTAATCAACCAAATAGATCCACTAATCCTTTAGGTTTTTAGTTTGTACCATTTACGAGTTCACTAATAGCGAAGAAAACTATCTATTGCACTCTGCTTTTCAATCGTACTCCCAAGTGTGGCAAACAAAAGATAAGATCATTGAGAACTTCTACTTATAACGACAGTTTTCTAGTCGTGGGTACATGTTAACTCAATTTGTTTGCAAAGACTAACCTCAACTCCAATAATCTGCAGTTCCTCACATCAGTCACATGAAATGGTTTCGATAAAAAAAACCACCTCCCAGTAATAAACTCCTTATCAGATCTTCATCAAAATAAACAAACATTTGATCCGATGATCAACACACTTCTTTGAAATGTGTCTCACCGAATAACCATATTTCTTAAATCACAACCCAAATTGTTTTCGCCTGTCTAATAGAAAAACTGGGTCAAAGTACAGTAATAATGACGACCCAGAGCAACTTATCTGTCAACCAGCAAACACTGCATTGTTACAATGCAATTAACAATAAAAAAACCCAATGAAGTACCGATGGAATAGTAGATTTTTTTATTAATAATTAACCCTCACATGCTAAATGATTCTTTGTAGTAAAGGAGAATGGTCAAGTTCACATATTAGAGTTCGAGATAGTATTCTGAGTTAGGATTATCAATCCATTGAGTTATCATCACCACGTGACATCGGTTATAATTCAACAAGTTCAGGGTCAAGTATTAACAGATAAACTAGAATTTCGAATTATAATTAAAAATTACTGTTGAAGTTTTCATCATGAACTAACATCATTTATAATGCGATTCTTCGCCACCCTTCTGTTTACAAACTTGAGAAACTTAGTATTCAGATTTAGAGTTAGGGTAAGAAAGATAGGATAGTACTTATATTCAGTGAACACTCTTATCTACGTGTTGAATCATATTAAGCACTTTAACAAACGGTTTATATTAGGAGCTGGTATATTTGGTCAATTAAGTTATGCACCGTCTTAAATTCACGTTTTGTTTGACCATATATATTATTCACACAGTGTCGTGATTAATTGAATATCTAATCAGTTGAGTGCATCGATCAGTGTCAACTATAGACAGTATACAATTTCAAATCATATACATCTTTACAACAATCTCATTACATATGGTATAATACACTTGGTGTGTTGCTTCGTGGTTATGATTGTCGTCTAGTTATCCACCAAAATAATGTTTTCTCCAATCAACATAACCACTCAAATTCTCCATTCCTTCCACCGACAACACATCACATCACATCACATCACATCACGTTGTCAAACTTCACACCAAATACACATGTTCACTCAGTCACCAATACACATACTCAACATTTGATCAATTCAATTCAATTCCATAGAGAAATCCAACTGACTGTGTAAGAAGATCTAGTTTGTGAACCATGGTACTAATAACTCGTATTTAATCATCCATAGGTCGTCGATATGTGAGAGCAAACAATTTGCAAGAGCTGATAGCTCATTTCCATAATGTGTCTCATCAACTCACTCACACTAGTATGGCTTCGTTATACCAATTCGGTGAGTCGAGTCACTTGTGGAAGCCACTTCTGATCTGTTCTGTTCGGTGAGATTTGCATCATTGGAATCATGTTGATTCTCACTGTATTTTGTTGCTCACAAGAAAACTCGATATGATTGTGTGGCAATATCCAATGAATTTTCTAAAGCTGAAATCGAAACAATGAACAGATGCATAGTTGAACGAGATTCGAGAAACGAACTCCCATACTTCCATATTCCCTAACTATTCCAAATCGTCTCACGAATTCCATTTGATTGTTAGTGACTAGCGACATGTCTCATAGTTACAAGATCAAAACACACACAAGATTAATATCACAAGGGCCTCTTGTGGATATTATAGTAAACTTAATAGTTGGAATCATGAGTCAATTGAAGCTAGACCACCATGGAAGGCTCAGTGATCTAGATGCTAAGCGATCACGCGCGAGACTGATAGGCTCTGGGTTCGAACCTCGCGTGCTGGGATCGTACATGTGCACTGCTGAGGAGTCCTACAGCAGGACGAAACGGTCGTCCAGTTCTCCCAGGTATTCCATGGTGATCTAGCTTCGATTGACTCATGATCTCAACTGTTAAGGGAACACACAAGATTATTCAATTTGAGTATGGATAAGCACTGTATTCATCAGTTGTTCCAATGATCGTATTCAGGTTTGTATTGAATAGTTGTTGTATCAAGTGATGATGCGTACTTGAAGAACACACATTAAGTATTCAGTCAACGTGAAATGAGAGATGAAAGCGTCATTTCGTGATGATTGAACACTATAAATAACGTCAATCAATATACACAAATATGTTAATGATATAGAAATACCATGACAGTTTACTAACTCAACATAAAATATCTGTGAATATTTCTCGTCTACAACACATCATTGATGAATCCAATTTATTGAGTTTCACCATTAGTCTATTGTTAAAATAAACCACAAAGTGAAAAAACAAACAATCAGTCAAGGTCACATACTTCAAGTGAAATATTCATATCATTGATCAATATAATTGTACTAAATCAATGAAAATTCTGCATTTGTAAAATGACTGAATTGTGAGAGACATAGAAATCCGATTCAACTGCTACGATTCACAATTGACAACTCGTTCGAAAATATCATCATGTGAAGTTCATTTAAATATTCGGGAGTAGAACAATCTTGTGAACAATAATTGTGCAGATCATTAATTACTCACTTGTAATAGCATTAGTGAAGATGCATTTTACCTAAACCTTGGGGTTTGAACGAAGAATACACCAAGGTAATATCTGAATGTAATTTAATGTGAAAACGAATCGAGTGATATAAGTGAATCAGTTGAATGACGAACTCTTATCGAGTAGTTGAGATGCATGACAGAGAATATTCGATTCAGAGCATGATCGAGAGCACCCAGTCAGTATTATGAGCTAGAAGGTTGCATGATATCAATTTCTACTCACTGGGTGATTTGAGTATATACACAGCCAATTGTTGACTGAACGTAGATTCGACATTTCTGACGGTGAAGTCACGCGACCGGGATTGGAAGTTGTAAGTAAATGCGACACTCAACCATTTAACGGGTCAGCCATGCACATGAACGATAGTAAGCACGAATGTCTTTTATCATTAAATCAAATACATAACATTTTGTTGAGCTGTTTGTTTTGTTGATCAAGCGACACCTAAATTCACAAGACTCGTTTGGAACCGCGAAATTACCGGTCTAATATTGGTCACTCCTCAATACTGAATTGTTGTGCAACAAATTACTGTCGCGTTAACTGCTAAGGCAGTCGCAATAATAATGAAATTTTAGTAGAAAGGCTAAAATATCTCGGGAAACGATAACCTCTCATGAGACGAATTGTAATAGTTAGGGAATATGGAAGTTTGTTTCTCGAATCTTGTTCATTTATGCATCTGTTCGTTATTTCGATTTCAGGTTTAGAAGCTTCATCGGAAATCGCCACACAATCACATCAATTTTTCTTGTGAGGAACAAAATACAAGGGCAATCAACATAATTCCGATGCTCCAATTCTCATCGAACAGATCAGAAGTGAATCCGATCAAAAATAAGGATTTGTAAGACATGCAAAACAATGGTCACTGACCAGTGATCAATCAAATTTTAAGAGATAAGGCATTATTTTAAAATGTGGTCCCCAATTGGCATCGAGTAAAGCAAAATCATGTGAGTGCTTTTCAGCACAAAACATATTCATTCAAATAATTTAATGTCTGAATTGTAGTTGAGATATCGTCCCACACTTCTGTTTGGTGCATAACTCAACAAAATAAGCACGAAATAAACTAGTTTTTGCAGACATTGCTATTTGCAAAAATTGCCATAATTGTTCCGTTTTAAACTCTCCATTCATTTTTGTGATAAGGGACATTTTCAATGGTCGTTGACTAATAACTAGCTCATTTAAAGTGCTCAAACGTTGAACATAGAACTAGGAAAATGTAATATCAGTTGGGAACAGGAACAAACTTAAATAAAGTACTCGAACGGTTAATATCATATGTAACGATTTCGTCTGAATTTTATAATTATCCACATCAAACCTATTAGAAAGATGCCTAGTCTGAATACCATATTCATTAGTTAAGACACAGATTACAACAATAGGCAAAGTCAATGAAACCAAGCGAAACTGAATACCAAATAATATAAGACATCAATATGATCTAATTGGTAGAATCCTGTTGGATTGAAATGAAGGATTATGAGAGAGTTAATGCTAAACCAGTCTACTGGAAATTATTTTATATATTTTCACTGTGTATTCGGGATGAAATTCCCAGAATTCTAGTGTGAAGTGAATTAACAGGGTAGGATGAGATAGTTAGCCAATCTAAACAACATTCGTAGTTTGGTTTTCCTTTAGTTTTTCGTGATAAAATCGATTATTCTGGATGACTATATATGAATTAAATTGGTTAGTTAAATTGAGGTTTTGATCTAATTGATTATCATAGACAATGTGAAATGTACGCCAACGGTAAATACGACTTTAAAAAACCATGTATTTTTCCGCAAACAGGAAAGTCATCTGGTCAGTATTGT